CCCCCCCCCCCCCCAACCTCCTGGGACTTTTGTATCTAAAATGTTTATGTTTGGAGCGTTGTCTTCCTCATACTGTGATTGGGTAACTTCTAGGTGTAGAAAAAAAATCAGTCAAAATATGTTTTTCTGCTGTAATCCCTGGCAGCAAGTTAGGTGTGTCAAATATAGAAACGACAATGTTCTAACAAACGAGCGTGTGACGGGATGATGGAAGGAGTACTTTGAGGAGCCAATGATTGAAGGGTTTGTAAAGAAAAAAAAAGAGTAGCGGTCATAGAATCTGTAGACCAGGAATTGGGAAAAATTATTAAGGAAGACGTTCGGAAAACTTTGAAGAGGATGAAGACGCGAAAGGCAGATGGACTTGACATACCACCGGAGGTATGAAATGTCTAAGAGAGATGGCACTGAGGTTTTAAACTCCGTTATTCAATGGCATTTATGAGAGGAAGAAAATGCCTGAAGAACGCATGAGAAGTGTGCTGGTGCCCATTTTTAGGAACAAGGGTGATATACAGAGTTGTAGCAACTACGGGAGAATTAAGTTGAAGAGCCACACGTTCAAGATCTGTGGAAGCTAGACTTGGATGAAAGGTGACTATTTGTGAGCAGCAGTATGGTTTTATGCCAAGAAAGAGCAACACATATACCATCTTTGCTTTGTGGATGTTGTTGGAGGAGCACAGAAAACTTCACTGTGTCTTTGTGGATTTAGTTAAAACATCTGAGAGGTTGCCAAGGGAGAAGCTGTGTTATTGTATGCGGAAATCTGGAGTGGCAGGGAAGTATGTTAGACTGGTGCAGGATATGTATGACAGCAGGACCGTGGTGAGATGCTGCTTTTTTAGTTTCATTTACACTCAGTTTTTTCCACAGCTGAATCATGAGGGGAAGTGCGAATTCATGATCATCCCCTGCCCTTCCTGCAAAGAACGAATCCGCTTCAGTGAACAGGAGCGCCATAATGAGCGGGAGTGCCCAGAGAGGACGCTCAACTGCAAGTACTGCAAGGAGCCATTTCACTTCAAAAATATAAAGGTTAGGATTGATTTATTCAGATAGAGGCACAAATTGTTGTGATCTTTACATATTTCAGATGCTGTTTATGTGATAATATGACTGCTGTTTTTTTAGGCACATGATGAAATCTGCCCTAAGTATCCAATGATCTGTGAAGGCTGTGCCAAAAAGAAAATACCCAGAGAGAAGGTAACGATAGCCGGTAAAAATATACCGGTAGTTGAACAAAAGTTAGATTTATTTTTGACACAAGAGCATTTGCTCTTTTGATTCTCCAGATAATTTGTCTTGATGAACAAACAAGAATTTTTGCTTTGGGAAGTGCTCATAAGGGGAAAAGTGTTTTTTGAGCCTTATGTGGAGAATAACTGATAAAGAAAATTGGAATAGTTTGATATGCCACACCTGTTAGGTAGATGGATGATCTCAGCAAAGGAGAAGTGCTCACTAGCACAAATTTACACAAATTTGTGAGAAATACTTGAGAGAAAAAGTTATTTTGTATACATAGAAAAAGTCTTAGATCTTTGAGTTCAGTTCATGAAAAATGGGAGCAAAAACAAGTGTTGCATTTACATTCTTGTTCTGTGGATTGGCAAAGTTTTAAACCAAGATCTTGCACAATAAGTCAGCATTCAATATTTATGTTGGAGATACGTCCCTGCTTTTACAACACCAATTTTTAGGCCACTATCTGTAAAACTGAGTTTTGACTATCGTAGTATTTTTTTAAGGTCAGTGGCTGTGGTGGCCTTCTTGAATTTGGTTCAATCCATTAATCAATTATAGATGTACATCCATTGATTATGTTAGATTATTGAAATTCTTTGATGACATTATATGCTGTTAACAGTATCAATAATGTCTTAAGGTAGAGTCTTAATGTTCTTTGAACATCACATCCCAGGTGGGTTAGACAGAGGGTGATTGCTTTTTTCCGATAGATGAACTGATGCTGCCTCATTTGACAAACACAGCTGATTCAAGGCTTAAGTTACACGAGAAGTTGATAAACAGGGAAATTCACAAACTGTAAAAAAGCTTCTGCTTACTATATAAGGGGATCATTTGGCAGAAATATAGGTTTGTGGGTGTCTTCCTTTAACAGGATGCTGTCACGCCTGGATTGTATCAGATGGTGTCCTCAGGAGTGTCCAGCATGAAAAGCCAATAAGGGAGGCCTAAAGAACTTCCCCAGATGTTTTGACCAATCAGATAGTTGCACATTCTCAATATAACTCTTTGTCAATTATGAGTTTGCCATCTTCTTCTGGGTGGGTGGCAGCAGCAACTCACTGTGAATTACTCACATGTGGACTGCGTCCTCCAGAACAGAGAAATATCTACGTATACACATATTTAAATTTCTCCAATGCCAAATAAATCCACTTACGAAATAGCCAGGACTTCTTTGTTGTATTTTTTCCTCTTGGAACAAGCACACTCTAACAGTTACTTTCAGCAAATTTCCTTAGTCTGTCCACAGACTCATGAGTTTTTTTACATACACTACTAACAAACAAAGACATATGCACATACCAAGACACATGCCAAAATATTTTACATTTGTCTTTGGCAGTGGGCGATTACAACCACAAACTGGTTAACTTCAGTCATATCCTTTTTCTTGCTGTGATAAAATAAAAACCCACAGCAGTGTAAATAGAATCTTTTTATCCATCCATCCATCCATCCATTTTCTTTCGCTTATCCGTGGTCGGGTCGCGGGGGTAGCAGCCTAAGTAGGGAGGCCCAGACTTCCCTCTCCCCAGCCACTTGGTCCAGCTCCTCTGGGGGAATCCCGAGGCATTCCCAGGCCAACCGAGAAACATAGTCCCTCCAGCGTGTCCTGGGTCTTCCTCTGGGTCTCCTCCCAGTGGGACGGGTCCAGAACACCTCACCAAGGAGGTGTCCAGTAGGCATCCTAAACAGATGCCTGAGCCACCTCAACTGGCTCCTCTCGACATGGAGAAGCAGCGGCTCTATTCTGAATCCCTCCCGGATGACCGAGCTTCTCACCCTATCTCTAAGGGAGAGCCCAGACACCCTGCAGAGAAAACTCATTTCGGCCGCTTGTATCCGAGATCTCGTTCTTTCAGTCACAACCTAAAGCTCATTACCATAGATGAGGGTAGGAACGTAGATTGATTGGTAAATTGAGAGCTTCGCCTTTTGACTCAGCTCTCTCTTCACCACGACAGACATTTACAGCGCCGGTTTCACTGCAGAAGCTGCACCTATCCGCCTATCGATCTCATGTTCCATATTTCCCTCATTCATGAACAAGACCCCAAGATACTTGAACTCCTCCACTCTGGGAGGACCTTCTCCCTGACCCGGAGAGGGCACTCTACCCTTATCCGGCTCAAGACCATGACCTCGGATTTGGAGGAACTGATCTTCATCCCGGCCGTGTTGCACTCAGCTGTGAACCACTCCAGAGAAAGCTGTAGATCACGATCTGATGAAGCCAACAGGACCACATCATCTGCAAAAAGCAGAGACGCAATCCTAAGGCCACCAAAACGGATCCCCTCAACACCTTGGCTGCGCCTAGAAATTCTGTCCATAAAAGTTATGAACAGGTGCGGTGACAAAGGGCAACCTTGGCGGAGTCCAACTCTCACCAGGAACTAGCCCGACTTACTGCCGGCAATGCGGACCAGGCTCTGACACCGGTCATACAGGGACCTAACAGCCCATATCAAAGGGCCCAGTACCCCATACTCCCAGAGTACCTCCCACAGGGTTCCCCGAGAGACGTGGTTGAACGCCTTCTCCAAGTCCACAAAATACATGTAGACCGGTTTGACAAACTCCCACACACCCTCCAGGACCCTGCTGAGAGTGTAGAGCTGGTCCAGTGTTCCACGACCAGAACGAAAACGGCACTGCTCCTCCTGAATCTGAGGTTCGACTATCCGATGGACCGTCCTCTCCAGAACCCCCGAATAGACCTTACCAGGGAGGCTTAAGAGCGTGATCCCCCTGTAGTTGGAACACACTCTACAGTCCCCCTTTTTGAATAGGGGGACCACCACCCCAGTCTGCCAATACAGGGGAACTTCCCCCGATTTCCAATATTACAGAGTCGCATAAGCCAACACAACCCTACAATATCCAGAGCCTTAAGGAACTCTGGGCGAATATCATCCACCCCTGGGGCCCTGCCACCAAGGAGCATTTTAATCACCTAGGTGACCTCAGCACCAGAGATTGGAGGGCCCGACCCAGAGTCCCCAGGCTCTGCTTCCTCAGTGGAAGACGTGCCGGTGGGATTGAGGAGGTCTTCAAAGTATTCTGCCCATCGACCCACGACATCCCAAGTTGAGGTCAGCAGCACACCACCGCCACTATAAACAGTGTTGGTGGTGTACCGCTTTCCCCCCCGAGATGCCGGATGGCGGACCAGAATCGCCTCGAAGCCGTGCGGAAGTCATTCTCCATGGCCTCTCCGAACTCCTCCCATGCCCGAGTTTTTGCCTCAGCGACCACCCGAGCCGCATGTCACTTGGACTGCTGGTACCCATCAGCTGCTTCCAGGGTCCCACAGGCCAAAAAGGCCCGATAGGACTCCTTCTTCAGCCTGACAGCGTCCTTCACCGACGGTGTCCACCACTGGGTTCCAGGTTTGCCGCCGCGACAGGCACGACAACCTTTTCGGCCGCAGCTCCGGTAAGCCGCCTCGGCAATAGAGGCACGGAACATGGCCCACTCTGACTCAATGTCCCCCACCTCCCCGGAACATGTTCGAAGTTCTCCCGGAGGTGGGAGTTGAAGCTCCGTCTCACAGGAGACTCTGCCAGACGTTCCCAGCAAACCCTCACAATACGTTTGGGTCTGCCATGTCTGACCGGCATCCTCCCCCACCATCGGAGCCAACTCACCACCAGGTAGTGATCAGTGGACAGCTCCAACCCTCTCTTCACTCGAGTGTCCAAGACATGTGGCCGCAGATCAGATGAGACGATGACAGTCGTTCATCGAACTGCAGCCTAGGGTGTCCTGGTGCCAAGAGCACATGTGGACACCCTTATGCTTGAACATGGTGTTCGTTATGGACAATCCATGATGAGCACAGAAGTCCAACAACAGAACACTACTTGGGTTTAGATCAGGGGGGCCGTTCCTCCCAACCACACCCCTCCAGGTCTCACTGTCATTGCCCACGTGAGCATTGAAGTCCCCCAGCAGAACAAGGGAGTCCCCAGGAGGTGCACTTTCCAGTACCCCCTCCAAGGATTCCAAAAAGGGTGGATAATCTTAAATGCCATTTGGTGCATAAACACAAACGACAGTCAGAACCCGTCCCCCCACGCGTAGGCCGAGGAAGGCAACCCTCTCATTCACCGGGGTGAACCCCAACACACAGGCACCAAGATGCGGGGCAATAAGTATGCCCACTCCTGCTCGGCACCTCTCACCATCGGCAACTTCAAAGTGGAATAGTGTCCAACCCCTCTCAAGGAAACTGGTTCCAGAACCAGAGCCATGCCTAGAGGTGTGTCCGACTATTTCTAGCCGGAACCTCTCAACCTCACACACCAGCTCAGGCTCCTTCCCCACCAGTGAGGTGACATTCTACATCCCAATAGCCAGCTTCTGTAGCCAAGGATCAGACTGCCAGGGTCCCCACCCTCGGCCACCACCCATCCCACATTGCACCCGACCCCTTTGGCCCCTCCCACAGGTGGTGAGCCCATGGGAAGGGGGACCCACGTCTCCTCTTTGGGCTGTGCCTGGCCGAGCTCCATAGGTAAAAGCCCGGCCACCAGGCGTTCGCCCGCGTGCCCCACCTCCAGGCCTGGCTCCAGAGTGGGGCCCCGGTGACCCACGTCCGGGCGAGGGAACATCAAGTCCATTTCTTTTACCCATCATAGGGGTGTTTGGGCTGCACTTTTTCTGGTCCCTCACCTAGGACCTGTCTGCCATGGGTGACCCTACTAGGGGCATAAAGCCCCTGACAGCAGAGCTCCTAGGATCATTGGGACACAAACCCCTCCACCACGGTAAGGTGGCAGCTCAGGGAGGGGTGTTTTTATCCATTCAAATGAGAAATAGTTGCTGTAATTCTGCAGTAAATTTTGACTAGAATGACAACAAATGAAAAACCAAAACGGATGCAATTTATTTAACTAGTTTACTGAGTTTATCATGCTAATTAATACTGTTTTTCTTTCTTTTAGTATGTGGACCATATTAAATTCTGCAGCAAATTCAGAACTCCATGTCGATTTCATGTTGTTGGATGTGACATGTCCGTAAGTAGCCTGATGATGACCGTTTTCCTAATATTTATATATTTCTGTATTTAATGACATCACTGCAAATCACTTGCACATGATGTGCGCTGAGTGATTAGTATGTTAAACTGAAGATGTGTGAAAACTACAAGTAAAATCTTAACATTTCTTGAATTGTGAGAGGCAAACTATTCTGAAAATCACACATACTGTACATTTTTATGTTTTTAGAATATTTTATGTAGGAATTATGACAAGTTTAAAAAAGGAACTTCTAATAAACAAAAATGTGTTGATCAATTTACAGTAACTGAAGTCCATAAAAGCTAGGCCATGCACTCTGTAATTGTCGGGGGACTTGAGAGAAAACCAAAAAGTTCTAAATCAGTGAGAGGCACACTGGATGAATGAAGAGAATCATGCCTACATTTTAATGTATAAATTGTACATATTGTTGGAGACATTCTTTCAAGGTTTGTATCTGGCACTTTTACTTGCAAGGTCAGATTTCAGAACAGGTAAATGTATACACATGAAGACCTATCACTGAAATGAGCCTCAAGCCTCATTATCTTTTCACTTTTATAACATTATCAGTTTAGCAGAGTTGACTGTATTTTAGTAGGTATTCTTTAACCCAGCTGTAGCTTCACACGGCACTCTTGGCCTTCACAAATATGGTTCACTGGCATACCTTAAATTCAGGATAACCGAGTGTTTTGGGAGACAATCGGGTCACTTGTTCTCAGCCAGAGGGGAAGAGTGTTCTCAACCATAATAATAAAACATCCATAACCTTTGACCAAAATTCTGTGACACATATACAGTAAAGATTTATCCATCCATCCATCCATCCATCCATCCATCCATCCATCCATCCATC